CGAGAGAGGGAACACAAGCAGGAGGAGTGGGAGAGGGAGAAGCAAACTTCCTGCCGAGCAGGGAGCCTGATGTGGGGCTCGATCCCAGGACCCCGGGATCATGACCCGAGCTGAAGGCAGACGCTTAAGCGACTGAGCCACCTAGGCGCTCCAAAGCAAGGTTTTAAGGAGATAAATTTTAATAAATTTTAACAGTCCCAAAATAAACTTAACTTCTGCAGTTAAAATATTAAGTTGATATGATGTTAAACTTAAACTTCATTTTTTTCTTAGCAAAGCAAGGCATGCAGAGTTCAACGTGACATTTAAGTAAACAATTTCCAAATACTGCTAATAAGCAACATTTAAGAACACTTTTTAAAGTACTCCTACTCTAAAATGTGGACATAGATAATGCAAAGCAAATATAATTCATTTATAATTTAAAATCTAGCTAAACAATTGTTTCCCTTGTACTAAAGATCTCTTTTCCTCCTCCAATCCCACTAACACATATGTCTTTAACTACTACAAGCCTGGGCAATGTTATCCTTGTAGGCTGTGATGTAGTAAAGATCTATATTAATATCCTTGGAGATCTGATGGACAGAAAAACACACAACTGTTTTAAACACCCAAGGACTTCTGTTAAGTACACTGATGACAATGGAATAGCAAAGAGTCACAGGGAAAAACACCCCTGAATCTCTAGATATGCTTTATACAAACAGATGTCCTTAAATCTCTAACACTGGAATAGCTGAGCAAATGATCTATCAGTTTGATGGAATATTATATAAGCATTAAGATTAAAGATGATAAAGCTATGTAACACAATTTTATAATATAACCTAAAACATCTTAAATATACTTTTATATCTAGATATAACTATAAAATACTACATATAAGTGCAAAGACTTGAAGAAAATAAGAAATGAGTATTTGGTACAGTTATAGGGACTCCTCCAACCATCTGTATGTTTACAAAGTAAATAAAAATCAGAAGGTCAAAAATGCAATGCCTCCTCTCTCTAAAGAACTATAAAACTATCATCAGCACCTTGGTAATCACCTCATATTTATGGTCTATACTAAGCACACCAAAACTTGCTATATATTACCCTTCTGGGCAAGGTCACCTGATAAAAGGGAAACAAGGTCCTGTCTGAGTAGTTTCATTAAGAAGAGAGAGAAAAAATGACTACTTTACCTCATAGCAAGGTGACAGAGGTATTTTAACCAATTTTACTGCCATTGTCAAGTGTCAAATTTAACATTACTTTTTACCAAAATTAACAACTGTATCCAATTCAAACCCAGAAAATTACAAAATGCAAATAGACCATGTATAAATTACAATTTAAGTGACAAAGATGGTATCAGTTTGGTCAACTTTACATGAAAAATTATATCTCTGTAAGAGTAAGAGATATATAGATTCAAGGATATTCTGATACAGACATAGCCTTCTATTACTTTATGCCTGCCACTGAGCATCATATGGATCAAAAGCTTGATAAAGGAACTCTGAAATTACTGGTCCTATCTCAAAATACAAAATTGGTTTGGGTTCTATTAATATGATTATAAAAATTACCCTCCACAACTAACTCCTTGAAGAAATTAATAAGCTGACCCTAAAATTCACATGGAAATGCAAAAGATCCACAACGGCCAAGATAAACTAGAAAAAGAACAAAGTTGGAGGATTCACGCTTCCCAGTTTAAAACTTACTTCAAAGTTTAGTAATCAAGACTGTGTGATAGTGGCATAAAAACAGACATCTAATCAATAGAACAGAACTGAGGAGGCCAGATAAATTTTTATGGTCAAATGGTTTTTGAAAAAATGCCAAGAAAAGTCAATAGGGATAGAAGAGTCTTTTCAACAAATGGTTTGGAGACAACCAGATAGCCACTACAAAATAATGAAATCAGATATCTACCTTGCACAGTATATGAAAATTAACACAAAATGGATACTCAGCTGCAAAACAATAAAAGTGGGCCCCTAATTCATACCATATACGTAAATTAACATAAAATGGATCATGGTATAAGAGCTAAAACCATAAAATTCTTAGAAACAAACAAAAGAGTAAATCTTTCTGACCTCACATTAGCTTCTTAGATATGACAACAAAAATAGAAACAAAAGAAAAAAATAAATTAGAATTTATCAAAATTAAAAAATTTTGTGCTTCAAAGGATACCACTAAGAAAATGAAAAGACAACCTATAAAATAGGATAAAATATCTACAAATCATATATATGATAAGGAACTTATGACTTAAAGGACACTCACAACTCAGTAAAAAAAAAAAAATGTTTTAAAGGGCAAAGGATTTGAATGGATATTTCTCAAAAGAAGATACAGAAATGGTCAAAAGCCATGTGAAAAGATGTTCAACATCATTAGTCATTAGAGAAATGCAAATCAAACCACAATGATACTTCTTCACACCAACTAGAATGGCTAAAATCAAAAGGACACACATTAACAAGCAAGAATGTGGAGAAACTGGAATCCTTTTGCAATGCTGGTAGGACTGTAAAATAAGGCAGCCACTTTGATAAATAGTTTTGACAGTTCCTTAAAATATAAAATAACAAGTTACCACATAACCTAGCAATTCCTAGGTATATATTCAAGGGAGTGAAAAAATAGGCCCACACAAAAACCTATACAGGAATGTTCACAGCAACACTAATAGTAATAGCCAAAAAGTGGAAACAACCCAAATAGCCATCAACTGATGAATGGATAAACAATATGTGGCATACTCATACAATGGATTATTATTCAGCAATAAAAAGGTATAAAGTATTAACATATGCTACAACACAGATGAACCTTGTAACATTGTGCTAAGTGAAAGAAGTCAGTGCATTTAACAGGCTATTTGCATATTTCCTTTAACTATTTCTCCTCTACACCTTTTACACTCAACCACCCAAATACTATGTCCTCTATAATATCTGCCCCATGATCCCCTTCCAGGACCCACTAGACTCTATTAAACCATTTCTTCCACTCTGACTAATTATTACAGTCATCTATGGACATGTTCAGGGCTCCCTGCTTTCTGGTAAGACTGTCAATCAATTCTGTATCTTTAATAAAACAGTGGCTTATATATAAGGGTGTTCAGTGTTCTTAAGGGATAAACATCATTACAATAAAAAGAACACAGGCTTTAAGTCCGACTCTTGATCTGAGCTCAGGTCTTGATCACAGGGTTGTAAGTTCAAGCCCTGCATTGAGCTCCACACTGGAGGTGGAGCCCACTTTAAAAAAAAAAAAAAAAGAACGTGGAATTTGGAATTTAAAGTCTAAGAGTCCTTCACATATTCAATGAATGGTTACTGGTCACCTATTTTGTACTTGAACTGAATTGAACTCAAATCTAGATCTCCTAATACTTCATTGGTGAACTCATTCAATATTTGTGTAATGTTGAGCAAGTTACTTAAGCTCTCTCTAAATCTACCTTCCTCTCTAAATTGTGCTATCTACCCTTCACAAAAGTTTGAGGATTGGGGCACCTGGGTGGCTCAGTCGGCTAAGCGGCTGCCTTTGGCTCAGGTCATGATCCCAGGGTCCTGGGATCAAGCCCCGCATTGGGCTCCTTGCTCAGCAGAGCCTGCTTTTCCTTCTCCCTCTCTCTCTGCCTGCCTGCCACTCTCCCTGCTTGTGCTCTCTCTCTCACTATCTCTCTCTCTGTGTCAAATAAATAAAATCTTAAAAAAAAAAGTGTTTGAGGATTAAATTCAATATTATATTCCTTTTCGTACATATGTCTTCAATAAATGCAATTTCCTTTTTCTTCCTTTCCTCAAAAGTAGCTGAACACATTTCTTTTGGTCTGTGAAAATATGTGGTAGATAGAGGATATACCCAGGAGAAAAATGATCTCAAACTTTAAAAGCAAGTTAATTTCAAATTTATATTATAAACCTCACGTTTTATTTGTAAAATTACCTGTTTTAGAGCTCTCATTCTCACAATGATACCACTATAGTTGCTAGAAAATTACTTTATCCTAACCAAAATTTGCTTTTCCAAGAGGCTTGAATGTCTTATAGGAACACTTTCTTAGGCAACAAATTTAGCAAATATAATAAGCCCTTATACTCTGCAGAAGATACTGTACAGGGTGCTTTATGTATTAATTACACTTTCCAAATGAGATGTCACCTTTCTTTGAATTTCCATGCAAATTTTATTTATTATTTTTTTAAGCTTTTATTTATTTATTCAAGAGAGAGAGCGTGGGGGGAGGAGTAGAGGGAGAGGGACAAGCAGACACCACACTGAGCATGAAGCCCAAGGCAGGGCTCGGTCTCAGGATCCCGAGACCATGATCTGAGTTGAAACCAAGAGTCGGAGGCTTAACCAACGGAGCCACCTAGGCACCCCTCCACGCAATTTTTTTTCATGCAATTTTTAAATTTATCTTGTGGCACTCCCTCTTTGCCTTGCTTTTATTCTTCTAACACAACTATGAAACCAGTATTCTTACCCATTAAAATGGTATACTAAATTACTACAATTTCCTATGGAAAATGATTCTAGAGCATAAACTCCAGACTATATTTTGTGCTCTTTGACCTATCCATCTAATTTCTGGGAATCAAAGACACAATATTGAATTTGGGAAAACATATATGCATATATGCACATATATGTGTGTGTATACATATACATACACGTATATACATAAACATGTTACTAGAGTAGAAATAAGAACAGAGAAAAACTGGATGCAACCTAGATGTTTCTAGTCATGAAATATCATATAGCCATTAATAATGTTGATGATGGTACAAAAACTTAACAGGGCATTATGAGAGATTAAAGCAAAATTCAAAATTAGTTCCTAAAACATAAATATAACAGGTAATATTTCTCACAAAAATAAAGGACAATAATTATGTTATTGTGACAGATTTATGGGTATTTTCTCAAAATTTGTAAACACGTATTTTCATAAGTTAAAAAAATAAGCATACTTTTACCTTATCCCAGAAATCAACCAAAGCTGTAAAGTCCCATTTCTTAGAATATGCCACATTGTATTTCAGGATAGCATCCTATGGAAAAAGCATAAACAAAACCTCATGATATAGTCAAGTAAATTATCTATGAATACCCTTTCTCCTTTATGAACTACTTCCAGTAAACTTCTTAATCAGCATTAAGCTTCCTCCTACCATTAGCTACTCCATATCAGTAGCTATGAACAAACAGAATACACACTAATTTCTTATTCACTTAAGAAAAATGAGATTAGACAGGTCAAGCAATAGGAAAAAAATCATAACTCCAACTCTTGCATTATAAACAGAGGTGATACACTCAATGGACAAAAATTGGATCTTGGAGATAAAAAAAAATTAAATATCATAATGACTGTTGGCTACCAATAGATTCACACTATACATGCAAATATACAGTGTATTTGCAGTATTAAAATTTCATGAGAAGAGTAAATTAGGGAAAAATGTCTAAAAAGGCTTCCCGGGAGAGATGGCAATAATGAAAAAAAGATTGAGAAACATTGCTCTAAGGCATAAAATGGTCTTTTTTCCTTTATTATCAGCTGTTTTTATAAGCTACATATAAATGGTTATCTTTCCCCATCAGTTCATATAAACTATATATTTATGTAGAGAGAAAAGTGAAAATAGCACGCCATCTACTGGTGTGACATCTAACTGACTAGGCAGTACTTTATTCTTGGTTAACGGTGATAAAAACAAAACAGGCCCCAAAAGGAGTCAATTATGCTAAACCGTACTTCTCCAGAGACTTAATTACAGTTTCAGCCTCTCCCACAAATGGAATCTTAAACCAGTCAATGAGGAATCACCTGGTCAGCACTAGATAGTTCATGATAGAACTCTCCATCCCCTAAAGGAAAATGACTGCCACAACCAATCTTTTTCCTAGTACAACTTACTTGCTTCCAGTCCCTTCTGCCTATAAGTCTTTCATTTTGTACAGCATCTTAGAGTGCCTTTCCATCTGCTAGATAAGGCCCTGCCTGATTCATAAATCATTGAATAAGGCCAGTAGGATCTTTAAAATTTACTCAGATGAATTTTATTTAATACCAGAGTGGGGTGTGCATAAGACAATCCATTAGTTATGCAGAAAGAACTATTATGGTTGATCCAGGTACAACACAAGAATTGAAAATCTGCATGTAACTTTTGACTCCCTCCAAAAACTTACCTACTAATAGCCCACCGTTGGCCAGAGCCTGATAACATAGTCAATTAACACATATTTTGTATGTTACATGTATTATATACTGCATTCTTACAATCAAGTAAGCTGCAGAAAAGAAAATATTAATAAAATTATAAGGAAAATACATTTACAGTACTGTATTATCCAAAAAAATCTGCACAGGAAACTGGTGCAGTTCAAACCTGTGTTGTTCAAGGGTCAATCGTATTTATAATTATATTTTATCTCATCCTTTTAAATTTCTATTTTGGTTATATTTTATAATGTATATATTACTAAAGTAATACACATTGAATTTATAAGCAACTATTTATATTTATAATATACATCTCCAATTTTTTTACTGAAGGTGTATGTAAGTTGAAAAATCAGTTAGATTACTTGACTAAGTTTTTAAAAATTAATACTCTGCCAAAAATTAATACTCAGCTGCCTGAAAAATACTTCATGCCATATAAACAAACACCAAGCACCTAGATTAAAAAGTAAACCAACAATATATATTTACTTGGAATCAGGAGATATCTAATTTCCTTCAAAACATCAATCATAAGATAATATGGCAAAAGGAGTTTATTTTTCTTACAGCCACATGCAAAATTTTCCATTAAGAAAAGATTTTAAGGATTTTTTTCTAATTACTGTTATCTGATTTCAGAACCTCATACAAAGTATTAAACAGCAATGTCTATCAACAGGTAAAAAGACAAACAATGCATACACTCCAACAAACTGCTGATACGCTCAACAACATGGATGAATCTCGAAAATGTTCATTCTGAGTGAAAGAAGCCAGACACACTAGCATACATACTATGTGATTCCATTCATGTAAAATGTAAACTAATCTATAGTTAAAAAAAAAAAAGAAAAAGAGAAAAGCAAATCAGTAGTTGCCTGGGAACAGAGCAGAAAGAGGAATCAACTACAGGAATAAGAGGAATCTTTGAAGGTGACAGAAATGTTCTGTACCTTGATTGTAGAGGGGGTTTCATGGGTATATGCAAATGTCAAAAATTATGAAATTACATACTTGAAAAGCATGCATTTTCTTACATGTAAAGTATTCCTCAAAGTTGGTAAGGAAAAACATTTTACATTCTAACTTTTACACTCTTAATTCTTTTTTTTTTTTTTTAAGATTTTATTTTTTTTTTGACAGAGAGAGACAAAGCAAGAGAGGGAACACAAGCAGGGGGAGAGCGAGAGGGAGAAGCAGGCCTCCCGCCGAGCAGGGAGCCCGATGCGGGGCTCAACCCCAGGACCCTGGGATCACGACCCACGCCGAAGGCAGACGCCCAACAACTGAGCCACCCAGGCGCCACCTATACTCTTAATTCTTTAATGGGATTTTATAATTAGTATTAATTCCTAACTAATATCTACTTTTACTTTAGTCTTCAAGTCTCAAAAGTAATCTACCACAAGGTCTCCTATCATTAGAAAAACCAGATGCTGTTCTGTATTCTTAGCTATCAACTACTGAGATTTCCTTTAATTCATAATTCATGATATGCACAATTAGTTAAAGCACAAAGAAGTCCATTCTTTGCAAATTATCAGACACATCAATTATAGAAATATTACTGTGTAAATTGACTTTTGAAGACACTATTCCTTTTTTATTTTTTTTATTTTTATTTATTTATTTTTTTAAGATTTTATTTATTTATTTGAGAGAGAGAATGAGATAGAGCGAGCATGAGAAGGGGGAGGGTCAGAGGGAGAAGCAGACTCCCTGCTGAGCAGGGAGCCCAATGCGGACTCGATCCCAGGACTCCAGGATCATGACCTGAGCCGAAGGCAGTCGCTTAACCAACTGAGCCACCCAGGCGCCCGACACTATTCCTTTTTTAAACTTTTAACCTTTCTAATCCCACTTAACTCAATATCAAATAAAAGCAGTAAAAAGATTATTATACTCAGTAAGAGGGACTTAATGTTCCCCCCCCACAGTGTTCTTTCAGCAAAAGAAACAATTACCATAAGCAGATAGAAGAAAATCTCGATGAATTACTCTGTTCTGTTGAATCTACCATAAAATAAACAAGAAAGGGAAATTCAGAGTAAAGCAATTACCCCTTCTTAAAGTAATCACTGGTGCACTAAGGAATTGCTAAAGAGGTGAGCAGACAAGGTAATTTAGAACACTATGATTATTCTGTGTTTATGCTTAAAGAAAAAAACATGAAAAATTTAAATAATCCTGCTTATAAGGCCGTCGGACCTAAGACAGTGTTTCTCAAATGGAGTATAGATAGTATTCTTAGGCGGCCTGCTTCTGTTTTTCTAAGTTTATAATTGTGGTTTTGGAACACAAAGGGCAAAAGACAACACACTGTAGGAATGAAGGCTGGTGCTTTAAGCAGATAAAAATGGTGAAAATTTTGAGCTATCCTAAGATATACTGTAGTACAGGACTGTCAAATTCTACAGAACCTGGACCAAAATGCTATCATTTTTATTTGCAAGCTGATGTTCTCTATACAGATCCCATCTTTGTATCTACTAACATCCACCAACTGTTTGTGATTAGTGAGTAGTAAAAAGAAAAAAGAATTTTTTTCTTTATAAAGTATTTTTTAAAGTTCTCAGCATACTATTTTGAGGTTCAGATCAGTGGTTAAAAAACTTTTGTGCAAAAAGGGGATACTGAGTATAAACTGTTTTCACACAACTCAAATGATGGTTCATAATGCTTAAAATGTAAAAAAAATCAAATGGACATAGCTGTAAGTATAAAGAGTTTATATTCAGTTTTATGCTTGTACATATGCAGTTAACATTATACTAAAAATAAGTAAACTCTGGCAGATCCTGAGAGCTTCTTCCATTTAAAAGGAGTACATTACAAGATTGAGAAACACTGTCCTTAAGGAATGAAATTTTCAAAATACATTATGATACAACATCCAATGTTTTCCATGTAGAGAAAAAAGAAAAGCAAACAGGAGCTATAGAAAGGTACAGAAAGTTTGAGAATAACTTAAGTATAAATGGAAAAACAGTATAAAACCTGAGGAAACTGTACACAACAAACTAAGTCTCTCAAAGAAAATGAAACCCATTTTCACACAAGTATAGAAAAATCTGTTATTATTATAGTTATAAAACCTTTAAAAGTTTACATGGCTATAATGCCAAAAATAAACATATACTCACCCATATTTTAGATATTAGAAAAACAACCTAATGGTTGCTCTTACAGTCTTAAGTGAAATATTAAAAAAATCAAAAAATAAATTATTGCCAAAATGTACAATTAATAAATCATTAGATTGCTAGAAGCTATATTAACAGCAATATAAAACAGAATGTTTAATGTATACTTTAATCATTAGGAAACTCTGTTCCCTTTGGGCAAATATTGCTAAAGTCATAATTCTTTCATGATTTACTTTTAAAGATATTTCAGAAACATGATAATTCTAAAAAATAAAAGAAGCCTGGTCTGAAGGAAATTGGATGGGGAATCAAGAAACAAAGGTCTTATTCCTCGTTCTCCAAATTATTCTGTGTAGCTCCAGGCAAGTCATTTACAACTCTAGATTCTTCTACTCATTTGCTAGTGATGGAGTGGAAACCAAGAATGTCTCTTAAGAAAGTTCTTCAGGAAGCAAGCACTTTGCATACAAATATGTTGTTACCCGAGTCTATTAAAGATCAAAAAATGTCTTTAAGGGACACACGAGGCCCATCTCCAAGAATTACATACCAGAGGCAACAATAGCAAAAACAACTACCTTCAGGTTTTGGGGTCGAGGCCCATCTCCAAGAATTACATACCAGAGGCAACAATAGCAAAAACAACTACCTTCAGGTTTTGGGGTCGTGTGAATTTGTTGAGAAGTGCAGTTTGAATGAGCTCCCACCGGCTCCCTGCAGTTCGCTCACCATTCTTTAAGGAAAAGGAAAAACAAATGAAATTATTCTAAGTTCTTTTGGATCATAGAATCAGAAGTCAAACAAACACATACTAAACTATCGTTCAGACTAAAAGAACATCTGTTTTGTGCTTACTTCATCTTCCACAGGGTACAAGTTTTGTTCTGAACAAGGCATCTTAACATGCTTGTTGTCCCACAAATCTTTAAAATGTGTTGGAAAGGGTTTAGGAACTTCTCCTGCTCGCAAAAGGTCTACCTGAAAGAGAGGGAAACAAGGAAACTGTAAGTGCATAAAAATTAGGCGTGCCTTCTACAAAATAATCCAAATTAAAGCAGCCAAAGCAAATGCTATAAAATGCAGACCAGCTCCTCTGTAAGAATCTGAGAAGTCCTCTCCAGCTGTTCCTGCTCCTTATCTCCAGTTGATCAGTTTCCAAGTCATCATATTTGCTCATTCCATCTCCATCCCATCTAGGCCCCTAGTCCTCATTATTGCTTGTCTTCTAGCCCTCCCCTAACTCCCACTGCCCCCAGATAGTCACCCTCCATAAAGCCCTTATTCTCACTTGGAAACAACCTTAATCTTTCTAAAGTATTCCCAGGCTCTTAATCCTATAATGGCTCCCCTCTGCCTATAGTGATTCCAAATGATGTTCCTAGTTTTTAACATCCTCTCTTACCCAAACACTGTCTGGTTAAACATCTATTCTGACCTTCAACACTCGACTCAATTTTCATTTCCTCTAAGAAGTCTTCAAAAACTTAAGGACAGTTAGTTTATTCCCTCCTGTTTTATTAGATCATTATCACACCAGAGCACACCTGTTTTTCCTTCCCCAACTGGGCTCTAAACTTCCTGAGAATAACAACCGTATTAACTGTGGATTCTAAATATTCATGAAAGAGCGTGGCTTATGTGTTTTTGCATGCATATATGTAGATACATATACATGTGGCAAATGAGCTGAACTCCAAAGGATAAGAAGAAGTTAACTAGGAAAAGGAAGACAGGAAGCTTGTTCCTCAAAAAGGGAACAGCTAATGGAAAGGAAGACTGTCCAATAGGCAGCTCATAAAAGTCTGCAACTCAAGGAGTGCCTGGGTGGCTCAGTCAGTTAAGTGTCCAATTCTTGATTTCAGCTCAGGTCATGATCTCAAGCCCTGAGTCAGACTCTGCTCTGGGTTAGTTACACATATATATTACTGTATTCAGGAAAAAGAATCTAGAAGAAAATACACCAAATTGTTAAACTCTGGAAATAGGACTAAGAGACTTGGGTTTTGAGTTACGTACTTTCATATAATAGCTGCCTTTTTTATTTTTTTTACAATGAGCCTACATTACTTTAATAAAATAAAGATTTTTAAAAAGATTTTTAAAATTCACAGGTTATACCCCTGAAACAAATACTACATTATATGTTAATAAAAATAAAAAAATAAAAAAACAAAAGCTGAAATGGTACAAATAAAATAAAATAAAAAAGTAAAAAAAAAATTCACAGGTTATTGGATATCTAAAAATAAGTAAACAGTAGGGGCGCCTGGGTGGCTCAGTTGTTAGGCATCTGCCTATGGCTTAGGTCATGATCCCAGGGTTCTGGGATCGAGTCCCACGTTGGGCTCTCTGCTTAGCGGGAAGCCTGCTTTTCCCTCTCCCACTCCCCCTGCTTGTATTCCCCCTCTCGCTGTCTAGCTCTCTCTATCAAAATAAATAAATAAAATCTTTAAAAAAAAAATAAGTAAACAGTAATTACAGAGATTAAGTAATCATGGTATAGGATGCTTTGGGTTTTCCTTATGGCCAGTGGGAAAAAGAAAGGCAGTAAACTCAAAATGTCACTTAGCTCTTCAATCAATCTTTTCTCTGAATCTTGACCATTAATATCTTCTCAGTCATCCAGCCTTTTCTTAATTTTCCCTGCATTATCAGTGCCTCCTTTTCCCTTATCACCCGTATTTAAGAATATTCACATCCTATCAATTTTACCCCCAAACAAAGCAACCATCTATATTCTTTATTTCCACATGACCCTATCTCAGTGACTTTCAAACTCTTTTAAATATCAGAACCCTTTCTTCACCTAAGAAATGTGACATGAAATCATATTTAAATAAAACTGTTTTTATAAATATAATTTTTCAATAACTTTTATTTGTTCTAACATCAATAAATGACAATGAGATTACAATATATCAAGCTCCATACTCAGCAGGGAGCCTGCTCCTCCCTCTCCCTCTGCTGCCATTCCCCCTGCTTGTGCTCGCTCTCTACCAAGTAAATAAATAAAATCTTTAAAAAAAAAACTGGATTAACTCTACGACCCAGCAATTGCACTACTGGGTATTTACCCCAAAGATACAAATGTAGTGATCTGAAGGGGCATGTGCACCCCAATGTTTAAGCAGCAATGTCCACAAAAGCCAAACTATGGGAAGAGCCTAGATGTCCATCAACAGATGAATGGATAAAGAAGATGTGGTATATATATATACATGGAATATTATGCAGCCATCAAAAAAAAAAAAAGAAATCTTGTGATGTACAATAACATGGATAGAACTAGAGGGTATTACACTAAGCGAAATAAGTCAATCAGAGAAAGACAATTATTGTATGATCTCACTGATATGTGGAATTTGAGAAACAAGACAAAGGATCATAGGGGAAGGGAGGGAAAAATGAAACAAGAGAAAACCAGAGAGGGAGACAAACCATAAGAGACTCTTAATCTCAGGAAACAAACTGAGGGTTGCTAGAGTGGAGGGGGGTAGGAGGGATGGGGTGGCTGGGTGATGGACAATGGGGAGGATATGTGCTATGGTGAGTGCTGTGAATTGTGTAAGACTGATGAATCACAAACCTATACCCCTGAAACAAATAATACATTATATGTTAATAATAATTAAAAAAAAATTGCCTATAACCCAGCAATTGCACTACCAGGTATTTACCCCAAAGATACAAATGTAGTGATCCAAAGGGGCATGTGCACCCCAATATTTAAGCAGCAATGTCCACAATAGCCAAACTGTGGAAAGAGCCTACATGTCCATCAACAGATGAATGGATAAAGAAGATGTGATATATATACACAATGGAATATTATGCAGCCATCAAAAAAAAAAAAGGAAAAGAAATCTTGCCATTTGCAATGACATGCATGGAACTAGAGGGTATTATGTTAAGCGAAATAAGTCAGAGAAAGACAAGTATCATATGATCTCACTGATATGAAGAATTTGAGAAACAAGACAGAGGATCATAGGGGAAGGTAGGGAAAAATGAAACAAGACGAAACCAGAGAGAGAGACAAACCATAAGAGACTCTTAATCTCAGGAAACAAACTGAGGGTTGCTGGAGTGGAGGAGGGTGGGAGGGACAGGGTGGCTGGGTGATGGACACTGGGGAGGGTATGTGCTATGGTGAATGCTGTGAATTGTGTAAGACTGATGAATCACATGGGGCGCCTGGGTGGCTCAGTTGGTTAAGCAACTGCCTTCGGCTCAGGTCATGATCCCGGGGTCCTGGGATCGAGTCCCGCATCGGGCTCCCTGCTCTGCGGGGAGCCTGCTTCTCCCTCTCCCACTCCCCCTGCTTGTGTTCCCTCTCTCGCTGTGTCTCTCTGTCAAATAAATAAATAAAATCTTTAAAAAAAAAAAAAAGACTGATGAATCACAGACCTATACGCCTGAAACAAATAACACATTATATGTTAATTTAAAAAATTAAAATAAATAAAATAAAAATTGGATTATGGTGATAGTTGTCTAACTAAGTAAATTAAATATCACTGAACTGAGTGAGCACTTAAGATGGGTAAACTTTATATACCTCAATAAACCTGCTTCTTCAAAAAAGAAGCTACAGGAAGTATAAAAGAGTTACCAGGGGCTAGTGAAAAATGGGAGTTATTGTTTAGCAGATACAGTTTCTGCGTGACATAATGAAAATTTTCCAGAAATGAATAGTGGTAATAATTGTACAACATGTACTTAATGCTACTGAAATGTACACTGAAAAACAGTTAAAATAGTAAACTTTATATTATGTACATTTAACCACAATTCTTAGAAATAAGGTTTTAGACATGTTGAGTTTGAGACAACTGTGGGACAGTAACAGTGATGTCTAGAAGAATCTGAAGCTCAGAAAAGAGGGTAAAACTGGAGAATGATTTGAGGATACTGAACCATACACAACTTTGAACTTTAGGGATTAACCCACTACCTAATATACAGTGGATGCTCAACAAATAATGTCAGTTGAATTTAAAACAAAAAGAAAGAAAAGAATCCAGTGAGTTTAAAAAAAAAAAAAAAAAAGAGGGGCGCCTGGGTGGCTCAGTTGGTTAAGCGACTGCCTTCGGCTCAGGTCATGATGCCGGAGTCCTGGGATCGAGTCCCGCATCAGGCTCCCTGCTCAGCGAGGAGCCTGCTTCTCCCTCTGACCCTCCCCCCTCTCATGTACTCTCTCTCTCTCTCATTCTCGCTCTCTCAAATAAATAAATCTTAAAAAAAAAAGATCTTTAAAAAAAAAAGATACTGAAAAAGTCAATTTCCTTATCAGCTGACAATGATTCATCTTATGGATGTATTAAGTGCTATATTAAGTAAGCTATCATTATATTTCTCCAACCTATAGACTTCTTAGTACTTTATATATGCAGAAAAGAAAAGCAGTTTCTATGCCTTGGTCTGTTTTTCACGTTAATAAGTATCATAATAAATCAAGACTTAAGAGTCTTCTCTCTTTATAGGTAAGAAGTAATACCTACGGGCGCCTGGGTGGCTCAGTTGGTTAAGCGACTGCCTTCAGCTCAGGTCATGATCCCGGGGTCCTGGGATCGGGTCCCGCATCGGGCTCTCTGCTCCTTGGGAGCCTGCTTCTCCCTCTGCCTCTCTCTCTCTGTCTCTCATGAATAAATAAATAACATCTTAAAAAAAAGAAGTAATACCTACGCGAATAGTTACTGTGTGATTGGCAGATGGCCTCAAGAGAGGCAGCCGGATGCCACACCTAGGCATTCTTCTCATCTCCTCAATAGGAGTTCCAAGCCATTTCTTATCTGGAGAAAGGTGAGGTGGAATGTATTTAGGTATCTTCCTTTCTGTTCTTTGATGCTTGATTTCACATTGTTCTTTTCTAAGGTCAAAACAAATGTATTCAGTCACAAACCACTTACTATTTAAGTTTTATTAGATACACAAGGACAAAACTTACCCAGAATGTTATTGTTTAAAACGTGCCAAGGGGCACCTGGGTGGGTGGCTCAGTCAGTTAAGTGTCTGCCTTCGGCTCAGGTCATGATCCCAGGATCCTCAGGACTGAGCCCTGCATTGGGCTCCCTGCTCAGCAGGGAGTATGCTTTTCCCTCACCCCCTCCCCCGTTCTCGCACGAGTGCATACACTCACTCTCTCTCTTACACATAAATAAAATCTTTAAAAAAGTGTGCCAGGCTTGCTCTCTCTCGTTGGTATTTACAATCAAAAGAAAAATTTATAAAACTTAGAGTAAAACTGAAGAACTTATTTTCAAGTCTGTGGAAGGAATTTCTAAACACAGAAATTACCTTCCAAAAAAAACAGACCGCATAAGAATATGTACACTGCCAAATGAGTCATGGTTCATAGTATCAGCTACTTCTCAGGTTTCTAGACAAGAGTTTTCAACAAAGTGAACTTACTGTGGCACATGTGATAGAAAATATCACAGAAATTATGGAGAGTAAGCTTTAAGATTCCATATGGGATAACTGTAAAAATGTAAGCTTTGTAATCAGACAGACTGGGATTTAAATCCCAGCATTACCACCCACAAGTTACAATTTCAGTGAATTCTCTAACTCAAATTTCAGTTTTCTCATTCGCAAAGTGAGGACAATGTCACCTGCCTACCCATCAGAGCATTAGAGAAAATGCAGTATATGAAGACCTAGAAAAATGGATAAACAGACACTACTATCAACCTAGTATTTTTATATTCTGATAATCCACACAAATTTCAGAAGGAAAATCATGAAACTGAAAAAATCCAATTAACAATATTTATTTACTTCTCGTTTTCTGTTTCTGGTCTTTTTGAACCTAGGTTTAAATTTACCATAAACAAACAACAGGAAACACAACTATTTCTTTCTTCACTGTAAACCATAACTTGGTTAAACCATTCCCTTACAAAGTTATAAAAGGTATTACACTATTGGAGATACTCTTGTTGAAAAAAATTACCTTTTGTCCTCTGCTTTGGGCATTCTCATGAAATGATCTGTGATTTTAGAATCCTTTTTCCCATGCTGCTTGGAATTCCTACATTCTACATTCAGGCTAGAAGTACTTCCAGGTGGTCTGGGATTTAAATCATTCATTCCACTCCGAGTCTCTCCTCCTTCAAATTGAAAATGTAAACGAATTTCACCTCCTTTAGAAGAGGACCGCTTCCTCAATTCAGTGTCAGCTTCTCTTGCTTGGAACCTTGAAGGTTTACTTGCTGTTTGGGAGGAATTGCTATCTTCTTGCTCATCAAAACCTGGACTTGTCTCCTCATCTGCTTCTGAGTCCTGACAACTATTTTTGGAATTATCTACATCCATTGGTGACTCAGGTTCACTTTCTTTTTCAAAAGGAGAATTTCCTAAACTACTCTCTTGTCTACTCAACTTGTTGGCATTTTTCAGTTCAGTACCAACATCCTCAGAGCTGATGTCTGACAAGGGACTCTCTGGCACCACATCTATCTCTTCCTGCTGACAACCTGCACAGTCTTCTACAGGATGGCAAGACTTGCTACACTTCTGGTGGCTTCTGGCTTCTCTGGCCCGTTCATCTTCTGTGGTCTGCTTTGTATTTGTAAACTTTACAGTTGTCAAAAATTGTTGGTTGTCTCTACTTCCCTCACTATCTGTGTCACTGTGATCATCATTTCCAGGTGACTGATCAACGTTAGCATTACTGAACCGCTCTGGCACCAGAGTTACTGTCGGAGGCTCACTTTCTAAAAGCCGCTCTGTATGTTTCCCTTCATTTTGCCACTTACACATAGCTGCAGTCTGATGCTGGTTCAAATACTGTGTATTTTTTTCAACAGATGATTTATCAAGACTTAGCTGAGAAACATTTTCTAATTTTTCCATATTATGTTGATAAAAGTTATCTTTTTGTACAGAACTCATCATGGATTCTACTGTTGTATTGTTGTTTTCTTTACTATGCAAACTACAACAGAATAGAAAGAACTAATGAGACAACAGAACTTATGATACAATAAAAAGAATTTATGGTATAAAAAAAATCACTTATCCAATCACATTCCCGGTATCACAGCAATAATTAAACTACTGGTGATTTCCTAAATACAGAGCATGCCCCTTTATGACTCCATGACTTTGCACATATGCCTATAATGTCCTTTCCCCAACTCTGTGCCTGGGAAACACCTGCCCTTCCTTTAAATGTTAAACTTCACTCACCTCTGGGCAGGTCTTCCTGCAAAGGTAAAGCTAATTCTTTGTTCTATATGCTAACCACACTGTTCTCTGCTTATACCTTTACTGTCCTATTTATCACACTATGTAATAATCATGTGTTTTTGCATCTGCCACCAGTATACTATAAGTATCTTAAAGACAGAGACTATACTCCTCTTTTATCTCTGTATGTCAAGTATATAGGACAGACCCTAGCACATGAGACTCTAAAAAATTATCATTTATAAACTGAAAGAATGAATATAAAGAAAAATGGGAAAGCTAGAAGAAAGAGTAGCATGAAACAAGATAAAACATTCATATATCATGTTATTCATTTTTCTATACAGGCATGTTTCTATACCTTTCTGATCCAGTTGTCTTGATTCCTTTAGTGTCCATCCAACTGGTAATAGTCTTTTGTTTGAAAACTGTAAAAAAAAAAAAAAAAAAAAAGACACACACCAAAACAATTATGTATACTCATACCTGCCTTCAAATATAAAATACCTATAGCAGCATTTATACATGTAAGGCATTGTGCTAGGTTCTGTGAATGTTTTTTTTTTTTTTAAAGATTTTATTTATTTATTTGACAGAGAGAAACATAGCGAGAGCAGGAACACAAGCAGGGGCAGAGGGAGACAGAGAAGCAGGCTTCCCGCTGAGCAGGGAGCCCAATGCGGGGCTCGAACCCAGGACCCTGGGATCATGACCCGAGCCAAAGGCAGATGCTCAACGACTGAGCCACCCAGGCGCCCCCAGGTTCTGTGAATTAAACAGATACTAATCACTCCTTCCACACTCAAGCAATGGGAGATAAGACAGAAATATAAATATAAATGCATTTGGCATAGAGTAGAACGTGACAGGCCCAAGAGAGCTGGTATGGCCTAATGGATGAGAGTATAGGCTCTGAAATCAAATCACCTGGATTCAAATCCTAGTTCTCCCATTGGATTCCTATGTGTCCTTGTGAGGGATCATTTTTCTGTCTCTCAAATTACTTATTTGTAAACTTGCAAATTAATAGTACCTCTCCTGGGCTTATTATGAGGTTTAAATTAAATAACACATGCAAGGTGTTTAAGGCACAGTCTGGTACATGCTCAGTAAATGTCGATTCTTAACTACCTTTAGTATTAAAAGAGATCCTGATAAAGAATTAAGGTATTTCCTAGAAAAGAAGACTACTTTAGGGAACTGGAGTAAGTGGGACAATCTGATAAGAAGGGCTTGAATTGTTCCTTGAAGAATAAACATGTAGTCACATAAAGGGAAAATCATAAGCAAAGGCACCAATGCCAAGGAAATATAAAGAACTTAAAAAGAAAGCAACAGAAAATATGATTGAAAAGTCAGCTAGGACCATATCATAGAGGTTCTTGAATGACCCACAAAAAGAGGTACAAACGGGGTGCCTAGGTGGCTCAGATGGTTAAGCGTCTGCCTTTGGCTCAGGTCGTGACCCCAGGGTCCTGGGATGGAGCCCCAACCTCAGCCTCCCTGCTCAGCAGGGAGCCTGCTTCTCCCTCTCCTTCTACTGTTCCCCCTGCTTGTACTCTCTCACCCTCTCTGTCAAATAAATAAATAAAATCTTTAAAAAGGGGGGGGGGTGCCTGGGTGGCTCAGTCATTGAGCGTCTGCCTTCGGCTCATGATCCCAGGGTCCTGGGATCGAGCCCCGCATCGGGCTCCCTGCTCCGCAGGAAGCCTGCTTCTCCTTCTCCCACTCCCCCTGCTTGTGTTCCCTCTCTCTCTGTCAAATAAATAAATAAAATCTTTTATAAAAAGAAAAAACATTCCTCAGTCCTTCTGAGAGCCCTACTTCTCTTTCCAATACCACTACTTCTGGCTTTCAAAGGTTTCTTTTGCAACATGCCACAGGACTGCTTCAGATTTTACCCCCTTATTCCTGAAATAGGCATAAAATTATGCTTCCCAAAATATCTGGTAGTTTCTTTCTTTTTACTAGAAATAATTCCAGGAAACAAAAAGGAGGGCAGTGGGAGGTGATGAAAACGATACAAGATCTAGAGTCAAACAAGATCTTGGACTAAGATCTTTGCTCAGTCGCTTACTAGTACTTCACTTCGTTGAGCTTCTATTTCCTCACCTATAAAATAGGGTTAACAGTAAATATGTACTTCAAGGCTTATGTAGATCAATGAGAGAAAATACTAAGTGTCCAGTCTTCACAAAGCAGAAATTCAACAAATGTCTCCTCTTGCAACACTTCCACCCAATCTTTTTCACTGAGATTAGTCCTCCAACTTTATTCTGATTTCACACCATTCACACTTAATCTCATTAGTTATCATCACTCAGTAACCAGTGTATTTCAATGTTCAACGAGCAAATCAATTAGATGCTGCTACTGACACAAGCAAAAGACACAAAATGCTTTGAAATTCACCTGCATTTCAAAGGAACACCCCACCTCCACAAAAAGTCCCCTTCCTCCAGCACCAGCAAGATAAGGTATGAGAAGGAAGGATATGGTGAGACAAAAGAGTGATGGACAGTGGGAGTTTTGAGAGGAAAGAGGTCTGAAGATGATTCTGACAGCACTGAGGCTGAAGGAATGACATGGGGGAAGGGAGACAAACCGGCTCCAACTCCCCCCCTCACCCCAACCACCACCACCCACCACTGACCTATACTTAGACCATGGCTGGAGCAGGAAGAGAAACTCTAGGTAGTTATAAAAGGCAGAAAAGAGGAGCTCCCATCAGAAGGTGAATAGCACCCTGAGTTCTGCCTACATGCACATTTCAACCAATATAAGAAATATGCCCAGGGAGGTAAATAACACAAAATTTAAAGATGTTGAATGAATATCCATTTCCTTTTCTTACCTACTCTCCTAAAATAACTATATACTAAAACTTTAAATACCAAGTTCCTAAAAGACCTCCAAATTTGAAACAATAGTTTTTGTTTGGACTTTCCACATTTTGTTAATTGGTGTCCTGTGCCCAGTATACAAAAACATTTATACATATAAAGTACAGCCCAAGTAGTAATTTGGTCCCTCTTCTGCAGAAATCTGCAGAAAATAAGAAGATCCAACCATGAGGACTGCCCCCCCCACTTGCAACTAACCCTTCCACCTTTATATGTAAATAAAGTTAATGGGCCCACAAATTAGGCTCTCGCAGAAGTCTGACACAGTACTTGGAGGTCACCTCAGTTCTCCCTCTCTTCCACTCTCCTTCATCAAGTTCTCTGTAATCTATGGCCTAAATCTTAAATCCATTACTTCCTCTTCATCTTCAAACCAGCATCAATATCAAAAGAACAAATACACCACTTTTTGGACAACTGCATTTGTTTCCTGCAACTGGTCTCCTTGTCTGGTCTTGACTTTCTCTAACCCAGTGTTATATAAAGGACTAACTTTTTTTAGTAAAATACAGACAATATAAGAATGCATCATACATAATAGGTATTATTTCATGAAACATGTTTGTAATAAATATGGCATATTTACCTAGTTCATAGATTTCTTACTCCGTGTACCGGCCGAAATTTATACAGTGGACTGCAATCAGAGAAGTCCAAAGGCCACAAGCCATCTTTTCTAAAATATAACCAAATGTTATCTCCCTTTTAAAAGCTTTCAGTGGCTCCCCATTAACCGCAGAATAAAGTCCAAACTCCTTGAAATGGCACTAGAATTTGTCCATAATAACTTCTGCCCTTCTTCCTGGCCTCAAGTCCTGTCACTCCTGTCATTTTATGCTCCAGTCCTACCACCTTTGCACATGCCATTCTCTCTGCATATTTAATTATTTCTCTCCTTTATCTATACAGCAAATCCTGCTCATCCTTCAATATTTAGTTGAGGTCTACTCCCCACTGCCTCTAAGTCCTGAGAGAACTAAGTTTACACCATTAACCCAAAGACTGTCTGACCTCTGGCCAGCCTCTTACACTGTTGACAAATGCATCCTTTTGGAAATGTTCTCTTTCTTGCATGACACAACAAAAGCCAGGCTTTCATCCTACTCTTCTGGCTGCTTCTCTTCAGTCTACTCTTAGATGATGGTGTTCCTAAAGTTTCTGTCCTAGGTCACCTTTATTTTCTCTACATGTTCTATGTGATCTAACCTACTTCCATAGCATCGATTATCACGTTTATGCCAAAAATCCCCAAATCTGTATTTCCAGCACAAATTTATTTCTTATGAGGTACAAACCCACAGATCTCATTCTCTCTGAATCCATCCACTTCTCTCCTTCCCTACTGTCCACAACCAAGTATAAACCATTATTATCGCCCACCTAGACTAACTCCTCTAGTCTTAGGCCTGCACTTCCCCTCCCTTTCAATCCATTCTTCATTTTCTACACACCAGCCAGAGACCTTAAAAAAAAAAAATGTGTGTGCATGCACGTATATATAAAGTCACTTCCCTACTGAAAATGCATTAAAAGCTTCTCATTGCCCTTAGAGGTAAAGTTCAAAACCCTCAGCACTGCCTATATTTCCCAGTATGATCTGATCTTTGCCTATCTCCCTGCAGCCCCATCTCTCATTACTCTCTCCTGTTGACAAGTATGCACCAGCTGCACTTCAGGAACATTTCCTACTTCCTCTTTTCTAGGTAACTCTTCATCCTTTTTCAGTTCTTAAAATAAGCACCTCATCTTCTGGGAGATTATCTTTGATCCCACAGACTGGATTAAGACTCCTGACTCCTACCATAATGATGTATGTCCTTCACCTGTAAGCATGTGGACTTTTGTAATTCTCTCTCCTGATAGATTTTAAGATCTGAAGACAGAACCCAAGTTACTCTTGTTCAACACTGTATGCCAGAAACAAGCACAATGCCAGCTAATACTAACAGCTCTGCACCCCAGGATGCAGAATCTGAACCAAGAGAAGTTGTGACCTTCTTTGTACCTTTCTTTTCACCTAAAGGTTGAATCTTCACATACACAATTAGACTTCCTTAACAACTAAGGCAACTTCTCAAACCCGAGGAAAGCAAACAGGTGGAGTCTACTGCCATTTTCCACCTTGTGAGTAACTGCTCATCAGGGTTTCTCACACCACCAATCCCAACGGGTAAAATGCGGCCGCATTCCCCTACCAGTGGCCTTAGTGGCTCAGCAAGAGGGCCTCAGAGTGGTGCACATAAGACCAGAAAGGGGTGGCTGGAGTCCCTGGGTCCCCAGACAGAGACCAAGAAGAGGTCTGGGCCAAAGCGAAGGACAAAGATCTTTATTTCCCCACGTACCAAGCGAGGTGGAGCTGCCTCTGTGCGGTCCCGCCCGCCCCGGGACGCAGCCTGACGAGGACGGTGGGACCCTGAACTGCACGGGAGCGTCCTTGGACTCGAGGACGCGCCTCTGCCTGCCGGGGAAGCTCCGGGCGTCCGAGGCGGCCGGCGGAGAAGTTGCAGCGGCGCCCCAGCGGGGTCGCTTGGTGCAGGGCTCACAGCCGGGGCCCGCACTCATGCTTGGGACCCGCAGCGCAGAGTCCCCGGGCCGGCCCGGGCGGAGAGCCTCATTCACTAACCCTAAGAGGGACGGACTGCGCCGGCTCCTCGGCGCCTCCAGGCACCATTCCCTCTCTGCCGCTGCCTGTTTCTGCAGTTGCTGCTCCGCCGGCCTCCCAGCCAAGCCCTAGCCAGTCGCCTGCCTTCCCTCTTCCACAGGTACCCCCACCTGCCTCAGGATGCGCCGCTTTGATTCTGGCTTGGTTCACTTTCCCACCACCGGAAGGCTGCCGTCAGGCGCTTCCGGTTTCCGGGACGTATAATGTCGCAAAGCGGAAGTGCAAGGATTAGCGGGTACCGGCTCCCGGAAGGTCACCGTGTGAAGGAGGCCTGGGTAACGCGGGTCTCCCAGCTTTTTCTGGGGAGCAACGGCGGAGCCGACGAACCCGGCCTGAGGCGGCGGTGAGAAGCAGACCGGCGGTTTGCTGCGACATCATGGAGGGCGGCGGGGGAAGCGGAAACAAAACCACAGGGGGGTTGGCCGGGTTTTTCGGAGCCGGCGGGGCAGGTTACTCGCACGCGGATTTGGCCGGCGTCCCGCGTAAGTATCGGGCCTACCTTGTGAACGTTTCTCAGTGGTTCTTGCGACTCCGCCAGACGTGTAGTGTGTACTGTTCTTTTTTTGGCTGGCGTTCACAATCTTCCTTACCAGTGGTTGGGATAGTGTGTTTGCGCTGCCGCTCTTTCAAGATTGAACGACTTTCTGGAGTCATGGATCCTCGAGAAGTTCTGTCCGGGTGACCTGGACTAGGGATGTTGGCCTGTTTTCTTCTCTTTATATACGAGCCTAGTGCCTTGTATTTCCTCCCACACATTCCTTGTGTGTTGGGCTGTGTGCTTGATTCTAGATTAAGAGGAGAGTCTAGCCCTGCAAGTAAATACATTCCAAACAGCCTGTAAATAACTTTTAAGCACAAAGTCACGTGTTTCGAAACTGCAATGTAGCCGTCAGGGCAAAACATTTAATATTGAAGATAGGCAAGAAAGAAATTTGAGTCGGGCCAGCGGAGGGGCTGAGAAGTGAACTGTACTTTAAAGGCCATTTATGGACTTGAAAAAAGAAGCCAGGTAAGACTTTTCGGAAAGGAAATATGCAAGATCAAAAGTGCAGAAGCATGTATACCCTGCCTGTGCTCTCTCAATTCTGTGAATATGTCTTCCAGATGTTTGGGACTTTGTGGGTATTCAACTGGATGAATAGAACTTGTTCTTCTCCAGGTCTTTTATGCTCAAGAACAAAACAGCCCTAGTGTCACTTACGTCGAAACTGAATCTGGAACACATTTTACATATAAGTCTTCCGAGGTCTGAGTTTTGGAGCACAAAGGGCAGTGCCTTAAAGTGACAAAGCATTGTTTCATTAATTTGATTAAGATTTGAAGGTAAATTGAGAAGTCGAGGGTGAACACCATTCACTTAGCACCTGGAATGGGCCAACGACTTTTCTGTGTGCAGGTCTACCAGTGTTTAAAAGAGATGATTGCTGCTTTCATGGAGTTTACATCCTATTGAAGTGAGCCAAGTAACACAAACACATTTCAGTTAATGATAAGCGTATGTAAAGGCATCAAAACAAGATTGAGAGATGGCGATGGGAGCAGAACGCCTTTTTAGAATGGGTCAGGGAAAGCAGCTAGAGGGTGTTGACATTTGAGCTGTGACCTGAATACAATACAAATGCAGGGGCGGGGACACACACGGACGTATACAAGAAAAAATGGTTAGTCCAAATGCCCTGGTGGGGGAAGGGGGGGACTTGACATGTTTAAAGAACAACTGATGGGCCAGTGTGTCTACAAAGGTGCGAGGGAGTTGGAGCAGTAGGAGATAATGAGATCAGGAGAGCAAGTAATGGCCACTAATGCAGTGTTTTATAAGCCATGGTAAGGAGTTTGGATTTGATTACAAGTGTGAATGGAAGCCATTAGGACTGATTCCTTTTCCTAAAAAAAATCACTTTAGTTGCTATATAGGAAGTGAATTGAATGGACTAGAGCAAATTAGGGAGTCCATTTAGGTAGGAGATTGTTACTGTAGTCTAGGTGAGATTTAATGGTTGGACTAAGATGGTAGCAATAAGGATGGTGGTTAAGTAACAGTTCAAGATGAATATTGAATATAGAATTAATAGGACTTTCAGTTGATGAAAGGACTAGAGTCATGGGTGTTTCATAGATTGTGAGCAATCACAGGATTCAAGGATTAAATTTAGAATGTGAGAAAGTTGATTTTCCCTGGTAGATTTTTTCCATTGTCAAAGTTACTGGGATTCAAGTCTGGCTCTCTGAGAATTTCTGTTTTCTTTTGTCCTGACCCCCATTCCTTTGGTGATGACCCAAGAATGATCTACACTGCCACAGCAAATCACCTTTGTCAGCAACTGTCAATACTAAGATTTGAAGGAACTACCTAAAAATGTTTATATATAACCCATAACCCGGGCACTGTTTTTCCCATGGAATTCATTGGTCTCTTGTCAATCTTATTTTTGCAGTTTGTATAGATGTCAAGCATCCTTGTAGCAAAGTAGAGGAAATTAGCTTTATAATTGACTTGGGCTGTGCTTCCTTCTACTTTGATTATTTGATCCACGTTATTGCCAATATCTTCTTGGTATGAGAGCCTGAACCACTAGTGCAGGACCTGGTTTGAGATTCAGGACCTCAGGAGGAGACAGCCCCAAAACTGCCAGACAGGATAAGCGTAGAAAAGGAGAAAATCTCATCTATTCAGTGAGCCTGTAAATCAAAATTGGAAAACACCTGAAATGGTGTAATTAACACTAAATGAAATAATTTTTTAAAATTTCATCGCAATGTGATGTTCTCTCTCTAGTGACTGGTATGAACCCTCTGTCTCCGTATTTAAATGTGGATCCACGATATCTTGTTCAGGTAAGATTAGGACTAGTCCTTTTATGAATTTTTTAGTTTGGTGATTTATCTTACCACTTTAAAAAAAAAAATCCAGGTTCTTATGCTGACTAGATCTATGGTACATATTTCTGGAGGCACCAACTCTAGTCTCCATTCACCCTTTTTCTTTTCTTAGAAACTGGGGATTTGAATTGTACCTCCCTGATGCTAATTAATTAATTCCCTTTAAAGAGTTTTTGGGGTTTGAGGTGGCTATTTTTTCTTTCCTATTTAAATTGTGAAATATTTTAGCATAAAATTTACTATCTTACCCATTTTTAAGTGTACCGTCCAGTGGTATTAACTACATTTATAATATTGTGCAACAATTACCACCTACCATATCCATAACTCATTTCATCATGTAAAACAAACTATACCCATTAAAAAATAACTTCATTCCACCCACCCATCTCACAGCAACCACCCTTCTGCTTTCTGTCTCTGGTTTTGATACTCTAATACCTCAAATAAGTAGAATCATAGTATTTGTCTTTTTGTGATTGGCTTATTTCATTTAGCATAATATTCTCAAGTTTCATCTACATTATAGCATGTATCAGAATTTCCTTTCTTTTAAGGCTGAATAATATTTAATTGAATAATATTCCATTCTGCTTATCCATTCATCTGTCCCTGGACGCTTGGATTGCTTTCATATTTTAGTTACTGGGAATAGTGTTGCTATGAACAATAGTGTAAAATGTCTCTTCCTGAGCCTCCTTTTAATTCTTTTACTTATATTTCCAGAAGTGAAATTACTGAATCATATGGAAATTTTATTACTAATTTTCTGAGGAACTGCTATGCTGTGTTCCATAGCACTGTACCATTTTACATTCCCAAGAACTGCACAAGGCTTGCAATTTCTTCACATCCTCACCAACACTTGTTATTTTCTGGGGTTTTTTGATCATAGCTATTCTAATGGGTATGAGGTAGTGCTCCTTGGGGGTATTTATTTATTTATTTATTTGACAGAGAGGGAACACAAGCAGGGGGAGTGGCAGAGGGAGAAGCAGGCTTCCTGCTGAGCAGGGAGCCCGATGTGAGGCTCGATCCCAGGACCCTGGGATCATGACCTGAGCCAAAGCAGATGCTTAACGACTGACACCCAGGCGCCCCAACTCCTCGTGGTTTTGAGTTGCATTTTCCTAATCATTAGTGATATTGAGCATCTTTTCATGTGCTTATTGCCTATTTGTATACCTTTGGAGAAACGTTTAAGTTCTTTGTCCATTTTTGAATTGGGTCTTTATTGTTGTTGAATTTAAGTTTTATATATATTCTGAATATTAACCCCTTATCAGATAACATGATTTGCAAATATTTTCTCGCGATCTTTTGGTTGCCTTTTTACTATGCTGATACTGCCTTTTGAGGCACAATATTTTTAAATTTTCACAAAGGCCAGTTTTTTAATTTTTTTCTTTTGTTGCCTGTGCCTTTGGTGTCAAATCTAAGAAGTCATCGCCAAATCCAATGTCATGCTTCTCTCCCATGTTTTCTTCCAAGAGTTCTATGGTTTTAGGTCTTACACTTAGATCTTAGATCCATTTAATTTTTGTATTAAGTGTTTAATTTTTTATTAGGTGTTAGATAAGGATCCAGCTTTACTTGTTCATGTGGATATCCAATTTTCAGAGCATCATTTGTTAAAAAGAGTGTCTTTTTCTCGTGGAATGGTCTTGGCAGTCTTGTTCAAAATCATTTGACCATATATGTGAGGGTTTATTTCCAGGTTCTCTATTCTGTTTCATTGGTCTATTTGTCTGTCTTTGTGTCAGTATCACACTCTTGATTCGAGTAGCATTGTAGTAAGTTTTGAAATCAGGAAATGTGATTATTGTTCTTTTTCTTTTTTTTTTTAATTTATTTGTCAGAGAGAGCACAAGGAGGGGGAGCGGCAGCAGAGCAGGCAGAGGGAGAAGCAGGCTCCCTGCAGATCAGGGGGAGCCCGATAGGGGACTTGATCCCAGGACCCTGGGATCATGACCTAAGCCAAAGGCAGACGCTTAACCAACTGAGCCACCTAGGCGTCCTGATTATTGTTCTTTTTCAAGATTGTTTTGGCTGTTGGGGTTCATTGAGATTCCATATTAATTATAGGATGGGGTTCTTTTTAAAAGATTTTATTTATTTCTTTGACACAGAGAGAGCAAAAGAGAGAGAGAGACAGAGAGCAAGCACAAGCAGGGGGAATGGCAGGGAGGGGAGAAGCAGGCTCCCCGCTGAGCAAGGATCCCCATGTGGGGCTGGATCCCAGGACCCTGGGATCATGACCCGAGCTGAAGGCAGCTGCTTAACTGACTGAGCCACCCAGGTGCCCCCAAAACATGGTATTTTGATAGGGATTTCATTGAATCTGTAGATTCTTTTGGATAGTATTGACATCTTAACAGTATTAAGTCTTCAACCCACAGACATGGGATATGTTTCCATTTTTTCAAGTCTTTAATTGCATTTAAGAGGTTTTATGGTTTTCATTGTGTAAGACTTTTACCTCATTGGTTAAGTTTGTTCCTAAGTAGTATTCTTTTTTTATTTAAAGTTTTTTGTTTTTTTTTTTTTTGACAGAGAGGGGAGGGAGAGAGAGAGCGCGCACAAGCAGGGAGAATGGCAGGCAGAGGGAAACGGAGAGGGAGAAGCAGATTCCCTGCGGAGCAAGGAGCCCAGTGGAGCAAGGAGCCCAGTGCACAAGGAGCCCAGTGTGGGGCTCCATCCCAGCAGGACCCTGGGATCATGACCTGAGCCAAAGGCAGACGCTTAACCAACTAAGCCACCCAGGCGCCCCTATTCTTTTTGATGCTATTATAAATGGAATTGCTTTTGTGATTTCTTCTTCAAATTGTTCATTATTAGAATGTGGAAATCCTTTTTTGTGTGTGTTGACTTTGTATCCTGCTACTTTGCTGAATTTATTAGATCTAATAAGTTTCTTTCTGCAATATGTAGGATTTTCTACATATAAGATCATTTTATCTGCAAAGAAAGAAAATTTAGCTTCTTCCTTTCCAATTTGGATACCTTTTATTTCTTCTTGCCTAATTGCTTTAGCTAGAACATGTAGTACAAGTATCCCCCGCTTTTTGAAAGTTCACATTGTTCCACTTCACTTTTATGAGAGATCTACATTATGTAGGTCTGTATATAGTACCTGTTTATGCTGAAAAAAGAAATCAGAAGAGGATTTTTGCCTTTACCGAAAAAGCAAAAATAGTGTTCAGCATTTGTTTTGCAGTGAGCTGTTATAGTGGAACCACCGAGCTCCTTCCTGGGGATCTACACTCAGCATCTCAGCATCGAGCCATTGCAGCCTTGAACTGTGTCTGTGAGCATCTGTGCTTTATCTTGATTTATTTTGTGTGTCTGATAGCAAGCTGTGTCCTAAGGTATCAGAAAGGCCTGAGAGAGGTTATCTTTGGGTCTGGGAATACTCAAAACATTTTTCCACGTAAGTTGGTGATAATTGCTTCTTTGCTTTATGACATTTTGACTTAGAGGAGGTTTCATAGGGATGTTCTACTTACAGATATCAGGGGCGGCTTGTACTATGTTGAAAGAAAAGTGGCAGAAATGGGCATCCTTGCCTTTTCCTGATTGTGGAGGGAAGGCTTTTATCTTTTACCTTTTAATATAATGTTCACCAGGGGGCGCCTGGGTGGCTCAGTCGTTAAGCGTCTGCCTTCAGCTCAGGTCATGATCCCAGGGTCCTGGGATCGAGCCCCGCATCGGGCTCCCTGCTCCGCAGGAAGCCTGCTTCTCCCTCTCCCACTCCCCCTGCTTGTGTTCCCTCTCTCGCTGTGTCTCTCTCTGTCAAATAAATAAATAAAATCTTTAAAAATATATATATATATATAATGTTCACCAGGGCACCTGGGTGGCTCAGTTGGTTAAGTGACTGCCTTTGGCTCAGGTCATGATCCTGGAGTCCCAGGATTGAGTCCCGCATGGGGCTCCCCGCTCAGCGGGGAGTCTGCTTCTCCCTCTGACCCTCCCCCCTTTCATGTGCTCTCTCTCTCTCTTTCTCATTCTCTCTCTTTCAAATAAATAAATAAATAAAAATCTAAAAAAATATATAATGTTCACTGTGGGTTTTTCATATATGGCTTTTATTATGTTGAGGTAGTTTCCTTCTATTCCTAGTTTGTTGAATTCTTTTTATTGTAAACGTATGTTGGATTTTGTGAAATGCTTTTTTTGCAGTAGTTGAGGTGATCATGTGGGAGGTTTTTTTCCCTTCTTTCTTTTAATGTGGTGATTTATGTTGATCAGTTTTCATATATTGGACCATCCTGCATTACATGAATAAATCCGACTTGGTCATGGTGTGTATCCTTTTAATATGTTGCTGAATTTGGTTTCCTAGTATTTTGCTGGGGATTTTGCATCAGTGTTCATAGGGATATTGGTCTGTAGTTTTCTTGTAGTGTCTTTGTCTGGCTTTGGTATGAGGGTAATCCTGGCCTTATACCAAATATTACCTCCACTTCAATTTTTTGGAAAAGTTGGAAAAGAATTGGTGTTAGTTCTTTAAATGTTTGGTAAACTTCACCAGTGAAGTTGTTAGGTCCAGGGCTTTTCTTGGTTGTGACTTTTTTTTTTTTTTTTTTTTTTTTTTTGAGAGAGAGAACTCGGGGTTGAGGGGGAGGGGCAGAGGGAGAAGGAGAGTGAGAATCTTAAGCAGGCTCCATGCCTAGCACAGAGCCCCAGTGAGGGCCTTGATCTCACAACCCTGAAATCATGACCTGAGCTGAAATCAAAAGTTGGACCCTTAAGCAACTGAGTCACCCAGGTGTCCCTGGTGTGACATTTTTTATTGCTGATTTCGGTCTTACCAGTTCAGTTATAAGGCTATTTGGATTTTCTGTTTCTTGGTGAGTTTTATGTCTCTAGGAATTTGTCTATTTCATCAAGATTATCCAGTTTGTTGGCATGCAGTTTTTCATAGTACTTTCTTATTTTTTCTTTTTCTATCC